ACTGCAAATGTGAACTATCATTTCAACTACTGTATAGTTTATTCTTGTAAATATACTTCCAATGTATATAATGTATTATTCATGAGTGCATTTTATACCATTCTGCAGCTTCGCAGTATTATCTCCTCTATCTGGAATGGCGTTCAAGCACGTGGGTTCATAGCACTCAATCAAATATATGTTGTTTATTGATGGGCCATTACTATAATCAGGAAGGGGAACGAAGTTAGGTTTACTCCTCAACTTCGATGGAGACCTTAGTGAAAGATTTACAAACTAACAATTCTAAGAATCTGTACCAATCGCATGTACTATAATTCAGCAATTTGAACTTTTTTAGAAAAGTGATAATGTATGCTACTTCACAGTTGTAATTCGTAACATGATTGATCGTACCTGTAAAAATGGCATGCATTCCATGTAAACTTACCCGTCTGTACGAAATATATATATTAATATTAACCGACTGACTCCCAGAAGAAGAAGTGGCAACCTGCAACCTCAATTGGTTTATTCAAGAAGGGTTTGGACAGGCACAGAAATTTCCCAGAGAAAGATTAACGGCAAAGTTCAACAAAAACATCCCAAAGGATGCGAACTCACGGGTGACCTTCAGTCGACCAGTCATAAAAATGAGGAATTTTTGCACAAAAACTGACGTGTATTTACAAGAAAATGCATGAAAACACTTTAAACAGGGTATCTTTCTCTGACATGATTTAAAAACATCCCAGCTAATAGGGGGAGTACCAGCTGCTAAGTCAGACTGGTTTCTCTACATGTATTCACCGAGGAGACTGAAGATAACCTTTTTTGTGAATCGCTCATCTCTGTTATCCTGTTGTGCAGTCCTCCCTCAAGCCCTCGGTTGAATTACTAGAGGATCGACGACTAGTTACTAGAAAATGTGAATAGTAAAACAAATTAAAATAAATGACATCAACTCCAAATATATCCCTAGTCGTAACCCTAACCTTAATCCTCACCCAAACCATAACCCTAACTCTAATCCCAATTATAACCCTGATCCTAACCCTAACCCGAATACTTACCTTTACCTTAATCTTAGCCCTAACGAGCTATTATTACACTGTCCAGGCACTACATATAATGCGTGGTGCCAGTAAAATTAGTTTCTTAGTTGGGGAATAGCGTTGATATTTCAGTTATGATAGTTACAGGGTGACTAGTCAACGAATAGTATGTGTTCAAAGTCATTGGATTCGCACTCCTAGGGCACTAGTGTTGAACTCCTCCAGATTAACATAGGCTCCAGGCTTATTCTCCTCAACGAATAAATCTGAGTCAGTAACGCAAAATTCGTATTAGCCGCAATGTTTTAGCAAAGGAATATCTACCAATCACAATGTCCATAAGTGACCTTCAAGAGCACAGCCTTTCCGTTAGCTATTTGCGCCGCTAACCTTTATCGCTGGCTGTAAAGCGGGCGAGTTCATCCTTTTGAATACTATGTGGGTGTGCGATCGCGTTATTCTAATTTTGCACTAAATAGAGCTAATGATCTGTATTGTCTTATTAACCATTACCATTAGTTCTTGTCTTAAGTGACGTTTTTTTGCTAAATAGTGCTGGGGTAGTTATTCAAGTGACTAGTACCTAAGCTAATAATAATTATCAACCATAGTTGGTAATACCTTTTTATGGTAAATGAACATTTTATCTAATTAAAATGAACCCACTATGTACTGAAATAACGCTGGTCGTTCTTAAAAAGAGCACTGCGCTGCTCTTAATTAGTGCGACGAAACCTTTTAAATTTGCAGCTAAAATAATGCCCTTAGTGTTGAAATACAGCTGGAAAAAATGCCACTGTGCGCTAAATTAGACATTTTCGTGCTGAAGTAATGCTTATCAGTGCCGACTCTGGACCAAGACGGATGAAACAACGCTGATGATAAGTAACTCCCTAGTAGGTACTGGTCTACTTCTGAGAATGCCTTAAAATAAGCACAGGTTGCTGAGTTAGTTCCAGTCATGCTGAAAAGCCGTGTTCATCGTCGAAAATTATTAACCAAAATAGTTATTATAAATTTTGGTGAAAGTTTTCCAACCATATAGTACCTATGAGAGTGACCTGGATTTTTATCTCTTCGGCAGAGAATTTAGAACCCCTTTCTTGTCCGTTGAAAAACATGTAAATAGTGTTTTACCATTACTTTGCTAAGTTATTTGAAAATTTTCGGTCATTCCCTATATAAAGCCCCTCCTGTAAATGTATGCCTTCCGTGTATGTGATTTATGTACGTCTATCAGAATCAAATTCAGATTTATTGTTTGACGATAGAAAGCTTACAGCCAATGTAATTCCTTTTCTCAGAAATTTCTGTGCCTATCCAAACCCTTCTTGATTGGACCAATTGAGGTTGCAGACACTATTTCTTCTGGGAGTCAGTCGGTTCCAGGTGTTTGTGATGACTCGGTGTGACAACCAGTACTCCATAGCATTGTGGTTTCTCCTTGACTTTTGAACTCTCCTTCTATGTCGTCTAAGGTGTTCCGACCACCTGGTGATGGGAAAGGAAGGAGAGAATAGATCAGGTCCGTAGTTATCATTGAACATTTTAAACATTGTAATTAAATCTCCTCTCTGCCTACTGTATATCAGAGAGAAGAGATTTAAACTGTCTAGTCTTTCCTCGTATGATGCATTAGTCAGGCCGAGAATCATACGTGTTGCCTTCCTTTGGACCGTTTCTAGAATATGTGAGTCCGCTTTAGGACAAGGACTGGCTGGCTACCTGGATACAGTTTGTTAGTCTTGACGTCATCAGAGAGAGATGTATATAAGGAGGTGAACATATCTCTGGTGATTCTAGTAAAGGCTCTGTGAATTGCCCATAAGGATCTGAGACTATGTGCAGCCACGGTGCAGCAGTGTGCAGTAGTTTTTAAATCGTGACTTACTATGACACCTAAATCCAAATGAGTGTGAACTGATGGGAGTGTTATTCCCTCTAGTTCATAGAGGCTGATGCGTTCGTGTCCGATGTGCATAGTTGCACACTTCGCTATATTGATCGGGAGCATCTAATCCCTGGACCACTCTGACAATTTATTGAGGTCCTCTTGCAAGGTGAGTGTATCACTGTCGCCCTTCAACTCTCTCCAGACTTTTAAGTCATTTGTGTATAGGACCACTAGGGAATCGTTGAGCAGAGATAACTCTTTGATATACGAAATGAGTGGGAGAGGTGTGAGTATCGTGCCTTGAGGCACTCTGCTACGGACTGCTGTCCAGGAGGAGATTTTCGGGTCGATCCTGTTCCTTTGCTTCCTATCTATGAGGAATTCCCTAATCCAGTTTAGAAATCTGCGTTTGATACCAAGACTTTGCAACTTCATGAGTAGTCTTTTGTGGGGGACTTTGTGGAAGTCGATGAAGACGACGTGAACAGGTCTTGTGTTTATGTTTGCTGATATGACCTAGGGGAAGTATGTTCACCAGCTGCTCATTTGGTCGGTGTTCCATTCTCGGCTGACGCAGTCGTAACCTCACTCTACTCTACTATCCACTAGTAAGCCTTAGAAAGAGTAAAGAGGCTAGCAATCTCACCGGGAGAAAAAACATCCCCAAATGGAATTCCATAGCAATGTTCAAATTAAAACGCAAAGGAATACAAAGATAATGTGTGTGTATGTATTCGTCAGAACATTGTAAATCTGTGAGCAGCATAAACGTTTAGGTAGTGTACTGATATCAACTAGTTGATTCGGCTCTTCTAGAGCTAGGCAAGTTTGCTTAGTGTTTCACGTTTGTAGGTACGTACGTGGATTGATCTATATATATATATATATATATATATATATATATATATATATATATATATATATATATTGCATTAGCTCCAACGGGTTGATCTCTGACGAAATCTCAGCTCGAACACGGAAGGCTTGGTTTGCATATGCCAGTTCACGCTGTTTCTGGCTTAGTAGACATTATATCCGGCTGTCGACCAAAGAGCGCTTGTGTCCTGGCCATTGAGAGTGGAAGACATGAAAAGGCCTTCTGGCTAGCTGTCTTTAATCAAAGGTGGTGTCTGCGTCCTATCTGCCGTTTTAAATGGTGGCATAATAGGGTTAGCAATGTTGAGGTTAGGCGTCGAATGAGTGCTGGGTGATGAGGAGGGGAAATCAATAAACAACGCTGTGAAGCAGTTACATCGATTGAGGTGGATGGTCGGACATTTGTACGCATGCATGAGTAGCTATCGCCTTCCTCGACCGATAATGGGCAACGTCAGCCACCGGCTGGCATAGGATGGATCAGGTTGGAAAAGAGTTAGCCTGTGGTGGTGGTGAAACCCAAACATGGCTTCATCATCAGACAATGAAATCCATAAGTTAGTTAAGCCAGCCCCGTAGACTTCCTGACTGGTTGGAGTCCTCGGGACGATAAAAACCAGTGGTGGTAGCCAGAGACAACTGATGATGATATGCCTAGCTCAAAATTGTTCTCGGTGATGGTTGTCTGGTGCAGATGCATCCACTCCTTGTGACTTATAATACCCAATATAACTATGTTGTTCTTCGATATTACTTTCCTTCTTCCCTCATATTTGTTTTCACTATCTCTACCTTAAATTGCTTTTTACTTTCTTCTCTTGCTTTGTGTGCTGCATGAAAGGAGTGTGTGGCAACTGGAACTGCTGCTGCACATCGGTGCAAAGTTCTACGTTGACATCAGTCATATATATATATATATATATATATATATATATATATATATATATATATATATATATATATATATATGAAGTAGCAATTACTTCAAAATGATAATCCTTTCTTCGCCATGAATCCCCTGTAAAATAGTCAATCTCTAAAGAATACTTATTGCTTAACATGTTTCTTGCTACTATATTCATAAAAAGCTTCTATTTTTTGTGTTTAGAACGGCGTGGATAACCATGTAACATTTCTTCAAAGTTGAAAAGTCTAGTCCAAATGGGGGTGAAATAGTCTGTAGACATCACATTTAGATGGATCCTATATTATTATCATTGAAGCTAAGCTGTCGGCTTGTATTTCTCATGATAATCACCGGCAGCTGCTTACATTCAAGTTCACCCACGACTTCATGTCTTAATATGGCAGGTATGCTGCTGATGTTGATGAACCTTCTTCTAAATCTTCTTTTAGAACGATCAAAATGGAATCGTTCCTTTCACTTTAATAATCGTGAACTTCGTCTTAAATTGGAAGTGACAAATAGACCATCACATTGGATTATCAACTATATATTTGAGATATTAGCACGTGAGAGACTTGGTTATCAGTCAATTGAATTCATTAAACAGAATATGGATCATCCATATCAAGCAATAAGTAGGCTAGATTGTAAAGATGTCAAGTATGTTTAGAAAGCTGGAAAAGTTTGCTTATTGTGTGTACTCTGTTAATTGTTATCGCATTATATATATATATATATATATATATATATATATATAATGTAAATGGTAGACGGATGTTATCCCTGGACGTCGAATCTCTCTTTACCAACAATCCAACACTCGCCGAAGACATTCGCTAGTGCTGGTCGCGCTATGTCGTGAATCGGCAGAAATTAAAATTCATGGCTGGCCGTTGATCGCATCCCACTGGCTTAATGGTCTGCGAGCTCGCCTTGTAAGCAGAAGGTCCTGGGTTCAAACCGCAATCGGGTGGGTGCGTACTGCTAAAGACTCCCAAACCAGGGGAAACAGCTGTCCACGTTTTCCAGTGGCTCTGTAACTGATATCAGCTCATGATGAAATCCTCCATCCAATCAAACAAAATCCCTACAAAACCAATACTTTTAAGTGGTTTAATTAAAAATAAGCTTACATACTCCAGTTGATTTATTGATTAAAAGTACTAAACGTAGTGTATCTGGATTAGCATATTTAAAACGTAAGAACACAATATATTCAGCGAAGAGACTTTTTTCTACAACGAATTTATTATCCAGCTGTACAGTCGTATGTGTATTTGGTTTTCATAAGAAGTTATATTCCATAAGGGAGGGAATCAGATCAAAGGGGTGAATACATGAAATAATCATAGTAGTAGTATGAGATACAATTAAAATATTTGTGATTATAATCATAGTTAAATGTCAAGTAGCAAAACAATCCATGTCATATATAGAAGAATTCATAAGATATATAGATATTATTTGAAAGGATTAGTAGGGCAATATATAAAATGTTACATAACATGGTGTGAAATTTGACAAAATAGAATTCAATATTGTAAGAAAAAAAAATTGAAAATTTTGGATTTATAATGACAAGTGGGACAAGCGGAAACAATTCAGAGTGAGAATAGTAGTCATAATGATAATCGTAGTAATGAGGGAAAGGCACATAGATTAGCTAAATAAATGAAATAAATAAATGTCTATCCGTCTACTGCCAAGACAGAAGTAGGAATTGTACATACTTATTTTGTACACAAAGATCTGACTGGCTTAAGTTCATGAATGACCAAGTTCTCCCCTGTCTTTAGAAATCTATAATGAAGAGAACACTGCCAGCAAGTTAGCATGAATTCGGTAAAAGATCTTAAAATCATGATCAGGGTTGGTGTGGAGTGACACAGGAGTCTATCAGGTGTTCTAGAATAGAGATTCACACGCAGGCTTCCTTTCTCCCTTGTAAAACCATACTGCTGGAATATTTTCTCGTATCTGTTTGGAAAGCGACGTCCTCTGGCTACCGCCAATGTACCTTGCTCCACAAGGGAAGCAGGTGAACTGATAGATGCATATGGAAGCGGCCAGACTGGGAAGTTTATCCTTTATATTTAACATTTTTTAAGTCATGGTGGCATTTCTGCATATGTTATTCTTATACATTTGGCACGTACACTTTCTGAATGTCTGCTTTCATAACACAGAAAGTATCGATTGGTAATACTGCATAATATTTTTAGTTTAATCTGGCTTGTTTGTATAATATATGTTAAAATAATATTGTCATCTATATAACTCCCGGATGGTTTTTAAACAAATACAGTTCAGTGATCTGTGGATTAAATCCAAATGTGTAATTCTGAAATGATTCGACAGCTTGTCGGCGAAGTTAAAGTAACGTAGCCAAAGTCCAAGGTGTTTCAAAAGTTGACCTTAAAGAACCGATCGGATACAGGGAGGGAATCCTATGAAATAATGTCATTCCAAACCAAATCATGTCCTCCTTTTTGAAATTGGAGAGGATAGATACAGTATACTACTTACTAGGTACTTTTTCTACAAATCTTTACTCTTAGGTGGCATTATGGATTTTTAAAATAAATTTTAGGGTAAAGCTTAGGGTTAGGAGTTAAGATTACGGTCAGAGTAAGAGTAGGTTGAAGAATGTGATCAGAAGTATCAGTGTATTTCAAAGTACCATGACCTACCTACATACAGTCACCTGGATGAATGGATATATCGCCCACGGTGTACGATTTCTCTATACAGATCATCTGTGTGGTAAAATTATGTTTGCAATAAATTTTTTAGCGTATTTTTCAACGATAATGCTTTTTTACTTCTGAATTCTAATTGGTTGTTCTAGGTCACTGTGAAGCCAAGTTAAACTTCAAGCACCACTAACTACTATTGGAATGCAACTGCACCAATGACCTTCAAACACTCACTGAGCAACTTAGTGAAACCTGCCAAATAAATAATGTTGTCATCATCAATAAAATATGCTCATCGAAGTGTTGTGCTATTAATCGGGATATCTGGCAAACTTCAGCTTAGGTTTTGGGAAGATTAAGTTACGGTTTAAGCCACTCCTTGTGACTTATGATCTCCAATGAAACTGTTTTGTTTTTCTTTATTACTCCTTTGTCTCACACCTCTGCTCACTGTTTCTATTATGCTTTTCTTGTACTTTCTTCTCTTGCTTCGCGTGCTACACGGAGTGTGGCGACTTGAACTTCCGCACATTTGTGCAAAGTTCTATGTCGAAAACAGACAGATAGACAGAAGGACAAGTTAGGCTTAGGTTAGCCTAATACAGGCGACATTGGGGTTAGTTAGAGTTAGATTACAGTTAGTTTAGGGATATTTTCACGTTAGGGTTAGGTTCAGGAAAGATGGGGGCTACTGTGAGGGCTAGACAGAAGGAAGACCTAAATAATTACATGCATAGAATGTGGTTAGATTACTCCGTTTATGCTCCAACTTACATATGAGAGGGAGGTATCCTCTGTAACACTTTTCTACAGTGTCTATGCATTTTTTCCGAGGCATTTTAGTGTATGGCATATATATATATATATATATATATATATATATATATATATATATATATATACTCCATACACCAAAATGCCTCATTCGCCTGATTAGTGCGTTCGAGGTCATTTGCTGATTGGTGGGTGGTGTTTAAAGTTTAACTTTGTCCACTGTGGTTCTGACTGTTATCTTCACTTCACTGCTTTATGTGCATGAGAATCCGTTGCGTTGTAGACGCTTCAACATATGTCCCCATTTAATAAATATTATTCCTATTTGGTATTCATCCTGGCTTATCATTCAGTTAACGCTTAACTCTAACAATTGATTCAATACTTACAGTTGTTTCAAAATACCTGAAGTTCATATCAATCTTGAATTATGGTTATCTTTGGGAACGACAACAAACTTTTGGATACCACACAACAGAGTAATTGATAATGGACCTTTAGGCCCAGTAAATCGATGGGCTGTTTCATCTGAAGAAGGCTTTGTTTCACAACTGTCCAAATTGATGGAGGTAGTTTTATTTATTTATTTTGTATCAATTTTACTTTTACTGAAAGCGTATGCATGGGAATGTTTTCTATGGGTGAGTAGTGGTGACTTATAAGATAACAGAACGAATAATTTGGCTAAGGCATTTAGAAGATTTACAAATTTCACTAGATGATCAAATCGTCATTTCGTAGTTTCTCTACAATCACTTTACAACTAGCAAGATGGTTGTTTCACAATAATAATAAAATAAAGTGCATGACAACTACTCAGTTATATAAAACAAAAGTACATACCATGCTAATGACCAATCATATTTTTAAATAGGTCAAGTAGTCAGTCCATGGTAGGCAAAAGGTTGAAGTTTATTGTTTTGACTGTACACACAGTCTAGGATATATGTGATTAATCGCCGAAGAGTGCTTCCATCATCACCTTTAATAATAACCAAAGTTAAATAAGAGTTATCCGATAAAAGAATTGTGGAACAGTCACAAAGAAAGCTGCCTTTATTAACCTACCATTCAATGGTGATCAAATTATCTATCCAATTGACAGCTCAAAGACTTCCATCAGCCATCAAGCGCACAGATTCTACGCCACATCTCTTTCTCTCACATGCCGAACATTTTCCAACCCTGTACTTACGATTAAAGGATGAAATTCTGTGGACTCTCTACTTCAGTCTGTATCTACAAGTTCACTTGCAGTTGTGGTGACACTTATATGTGTAGAACCAATAGAATGTTCCAATGTGGTCGTCTACGAAAACATCTTCCAAAATGGTTATTGAAACACATAGAAAATCACACTGGAATTATCACTCTAAAAAGAAATCCATCAGTCTCACCATCATCACCTATCGCAAAGAATATACTAATTCCAGGTCACAAAATCAATAATAATGACTGTTTCACAATTATTTCATCGGATAACTCTTATATAAGGTTGGTTATTATTAAAGGTGATGATGGAAGCACTCTTCGGCGATTAATCACATATATCCTAGACTGTGTGTACAGTCAAAACAATAAACTTCAACCTTTTGCCTACCATGGACTGACTACTTGACCTATTTAAAAATATGATTGGTCATTAGCATGGTATGTACTTTTGTTTTATGTAAGTGAATAGTTGTTATGCATTTTATTTTATTATTGTGAAACAACCATCTTGCTAGTTGTAAAGTGATTGTAGAGAAACTACGAAATGACGATTTGATCATCTCGTGAAATTTGTCTTCCTTATGCCTTATACGAATAATTTAGCATTGTTTTTTTTGTTACATCTCACGAAGATTATTTGCTGTTACCTTTGACATGTGAGATCGTTATCATCTATTTGTTGTAGCTGTTTTCAATAACTTTAGCAGAAGCAAGATACGATAACGGTCACAGCTATTACAAGTGTCTTTATCTTAAAGTATGTTACATATGTCATTCAAGCAAATTAAAACAGACAAATAAACCATTGTTAGTCAAGCTCATGTGTCTGGCTAGTTCTTTGTTTAGTGCAGACTGAATTCTATCAGCCTATTCTGTTCTATTCTATCGCGAATCAGTCTGAATAGCTCCTCAGTGGTGGTAACGTCTCTGATTGACTGCAGTACTTCCTGGGTGGTGATAAGCGCGTTCGAATTTCAGGAGGAACATGACCTGTTTCTCCAATATGGTTGCAAATACACACCTTGCTGACTGATTGACTGATTGGTGAGTGCCAACTGGCAGAAAACCTAGGTCTAGGCGAGGCAATGCTTCCTTCCTGTGGCTGATTGCATCCAACCATCTAACATCAACATGCAAGTTCTGACACCAACACGAACGTTTCGGGAACATTCGGTATGTGGCAATTTTATAGCGGAAACAACACATCAAAATGAATAGTGTTTTATTAGATGGTTGGAGGCAGTTAGCCACAGGAAGGAAGCCTTGCTCGACCAAGGTATCGTGCTAGTTGGCCTCTGTATTCACCCATTTTAACCACTTATAGACTCCATTTCAAGGTTCATTTTAGAATTTGGTTACTTGGCTTCCCTATGTATATACTAAGTCATTAGTCACACATATTATATATAGAGGTTAATGGCACCACTCAGTCGCTAGGGTAAAGTAGGGGTGGGACTCAAACTTGGGTTTCACTGGCACGAAGTCAGTTGCTTAAACCGATGAAAACCAGTTGGCGGTGAATAGTGAGTGGTGCTTAGACCTTGGTCAAATGTGTTAAGTTTGGGTCTATTAGAAAAAAGGTGACGTATCAGTAAAATTGGTTGGAGGTTTGAACTGCAGTCGCGTAGCTGAAGAGTCCCAAACTAGGACGGAGGAAACAGTTATTCAGTACTCCCTTTGGCAGGTTTTCCAATGCTTCTCTAACCAACCGATGTCGGTGCTCTTGATGAAAAATCCTCCAGCCAATCAAACAAAATCCTTACAAAACCAATACTTGAAAATCAGTGGAAGTCTGGGTTTTGCTACAGACGATTAAAGATGATCCTGAGTGTTCACACAATATGTCTGGTTAGTAGTCTAAAACATGAGTAGCCTGTTGCGGAACATGGATCTGAACAAACGCTTAGAGATGCGGGATATTATCAGTCAGAATAACTGAGGTACTGGTTAGTGTATGAGGTAGTGAGATCAATCCAACAGAGTATGATAGATGCTGTGTTTGATTTCCATAATTATGAGACTGAAGACGAATATTTATGTCGTGATGATAGATAGAGTAATCTTCCGCCCAAATATTCCTAACCTTATGAGGGCTTGCACTGAAGTGAACTTCGGAAAATGAGGTGGCCTACAGATCTGGATGCAAACTAAATCTTCGTCCGTCGACGAGTTCCGGGAAACAAATATGGTTATCTGTGGGACGTTTGTCATATATATATATATATAGAGAGAGAGAGAGTTTTTAGGGTGGTATTTGATTAAGTCGGCCAAGAAGTGTTGCCATGCTTGTTTATCATGAGAGTACTTGTTAAGTATGCGATGCTGATCGCGGCACTACTGGAAAGAAATAATACAACCGTTATACGAGTTCATGGGCAGCTGGTATCTGAAGTTATAACAGTCATTGTTTGTCGGCGTGTTCAGTTTCACTGTGGAATTACTTAATGACGTAACTCTGGTCATGGCTTCGATGCCTTACAAATTGTCCAAAAATGACTCCGATGGGTGTCGTCTTGTGTATCCTAAACGTTTTTGCAACAGTCTTCATTTTCAAATTTTAAATATTTATGTTTGCTTATTGTCAGTCTGTCAATCAATTCAGTTTGTGCTTTATCTCTTTCAAAATATAAGGTGATTTTGTAGGATTGGTTTGTGACTGACTCCTAATTTAAAGAACAACTTTTGGAATAACTGTCGAGTCGAAAAGTCACTTGCTTTTAAGGCCTTTGAGCTACGTATCAGATTTCAGATTGATTGTTTGAGGATAGAAGGCTTTGAGCATATGGTTAATCGTTATCTAGTAAATTTATGTGCTCATCAAAACTCTTCTTGAATGAGTCGATTGAGGCTGTAGACACTACTTCTTCTGGGAGTCAGTCGGTTCCAGGTGTTTGTGATGACTCGGTGTGACAACCAGTACTTCATAGCATTGTGGTTTCTCCTTGACTTTTGAACTCTCCTTCTATGTCGTCTAAGGTGTTCCGACCACCTGGTGATGGGAAAGAAAGGAGAGAATAGATCAGGTCCGTAGTTATCATTGAACATTTTAAACATTGTAATTAAATCTCCTCTCTGCCTACTGTATATCAGAGAGAAGAGATTTAAACTGTCTAGTCTTTCCTCGTATGATGCATTAGTCAGGCCGAGAATCATACGTGTTGCCTTCCTTTGGACCGTTTCTAGAATATGTGAGTCCGCTTTAGGACAAGGACTGGCTGGCTACCTGGATGCAGTTTGTTAGTCTTGACGTCATCAGAGAGAGATGTATATAAGGAGGTGAACATATCTCTGGTGATTCTAGTAAAGGCTCTGTGAATTGCCCATAAGGATCTGAGACTATGTGCAGCCACGGTGCAGTAGTGTGCAGTAGCTTTTAAATCGTGACTTACTATGACACCTAAATCCAAATGAGTGTGAACTGATGGGAGTGTTATTCCCTCTAGTTCATAGAGGCTGATGCGTTCGTGTCCGATGTGCATAGTTGCACACTTCGCTATATTGATCGGGAGCATCCAATCCCTGGACCACTCTGACAATTTATTGAGGTCCTCTTGCAAGGTGAGTGTATCACTGTCGCCCTTCAACTCTCTCCAGACTTTTAAGTCATTTGTGTATAGGACCACTAGGGAATCGTTGAGCAGAGATAACTCTTTGATATACGAAATGAGTGGGAGAGGTGTGAGTATCGTGCCTTGAGGCACTCTGCTACGCACTGCTGTCCAGGAGGAGATTTTCGGGTCGATCCTGTTCCTTTGCTTCCTATCTATGAGGAATTCCCTAATCCAGTTTAGAAATCTGCGTTTGATACCAAGACTTTGCAACTTCATGAGTAGTCTTTTGTGGGGGACTTTGTGGAAGTCGATGGAGACGACGTGAACGAGTCTTCTGTGTTTGTCCCTTGATTTGACCCAGCTTCCTGTGACAGTGCAAAGATTAGACAGGCGTGAGAGGTGTCCTCGGAAGCCATGTTGTGCTCTGCATGACAGGTTGTTTTCCAGATATACCGTGATACTTTTCTTGGTGATTCTTCCCAGTGGCTTGATTAAAGTGCTGGTGAGACTAATAGGCTGACAGTTTGAAGGGCTATGTCTTGATCCTCCTTTGTGGATGGGGTTACTATGACGTCTTTCTGGTCACGTGGTAATTCTCTCTTTGTCAGCGATAGCTTGAAGATCGTGGTCAGTTGGCCGGCCATGTAAGCTGGTAGTCCCTTAAGAATCCTTGGATGAAGATTATCAGGACCGATTTATTTCCATGCAAGTAGTTTCTTTGAGCAGTTGAGATGATGTCTTGGTCGACGTCAATGGAGTCTATTTTGTGTTCCTCTGATGCAGCTAAAGCTGATGCTGTGGGGAGTGAAAACTCCTGTGTAAAGACTTGGAGAAGTAGTCTTCCATTTCTTCTCCTTTTCCTTGATCATCTTCGATTTTGACATTGTCAATAGCCAGGTTTCGGACACTACTGGATGTCTTATTCCTGAAGCTCATGTACGAGAAAATTTTCTTAGTTTGTATCCTTGCAGTTTTAGTCAGATGTGCTTCGCACTTCATCCTTGATTAGCGGATTTTTCTAGCGGTGTTGTATAATTTTCTGGTCTCTATAATCTCAAGTATAAAAACGGATCTCCCAGTTTATCCAAGGGAGGGGGGGGGAATGTTTCCGACCCTTTGGGGCAGACCAAGGGATGAAAGGTTCAGTTACCTGAGTGTAAAGTTGTTTAAACTGGTTCCATGCGGCTTCTACCTGGGACTCTGGGTTTATGTACCGTTTCACTGAGTTGGCTGCTGAGACGATCGCATTTATATCAGTCATAGGCTGGAACCTTTTCCTCCTCACTAGCCTTCACACACAATAAATGTCGTTCAGCTGTCAACTGTGTGGAATTGAGAGTAATAAATATGTGTGAGTAATATCTGAGAGGTGGTCAGCTTCACTCACTGACAATTTTAAAACGTAATAAACACCGATTTAACTGATTAAAAATGCCCAGTAAAATGTTTTCAAAAAAATGGTTACTGAACAAAGAATATTCTTTTCGGTAACGTCTTCATCATCAGGCTCTACATTTATATGCGCCTATCCATAATAGTGAATGAATTATTGTTATTAACAACACTATTGTTTAAATAACATCGAATCAATGAGAATAATAATATCATTAGTTTACAGTTCAGTAGCGTTAATATAACAGTAAACTTAATGTCAGAAAAATTAGGAAAGATAATAATACAAATTCATGAATTTGTAGTCTCCACTGAAGGCCGGCCAACGTATTAGTAGTGGCTGACCGGTTGGACTTACTTCTTTTGCACACAAAGCACTGGTTGTTTCACGCGAATCGCTATAATCTCTGCTGTTTGGAGTATATGGTACCTGGACGATGTTGGCAGTTAACTTAGTAACCAGTAGATGATGATAAAGAAGGATTCTTCAATGCTGACTGCCTTTGTGACCGGCAGGTTTAGACTAGGTGGTCTAATATCGAACTGTTGATGGTTTTTACGACACCTATATTTATTTTGATTGGACCCTACTAACTAGTGTGATGTGTCTAGCCCTTTGTTTGATGCAGACTGAATTCTATCAGTTAGTCAACTTTACAATGTGGCCAGCATTCTAGGTAGCTCGCCATCACGAAACCTCGGTCCAAGGCTTCCTGTTGTCGATTGCCTCCAACTATCTAATATCATCAAATTAATGTGCACCGTGATGGCGAGCTACTTAGAATGGTGGCCACATTGCAAACCTGACTGACTGATAGAATTCAGTCTGCACCAAACAAAGAACTAGACACATCACACTAGTTAATAACTAGTGTCCAATCTTACTACCCACTACAGTTCTACAGGAGGTCAATCGCGAGCCCGAATAGCTCAGTGGTAACTTCTCTGACTGCAACACTGGGTGACACGGGTTCGAATCTCAGAAGGGACATGAGTTCCTTCAGCGTGGTTGCAGATACGCCTTGCTGACTAGTGATTGCCAACTCGCACGAAACCTTGGCCGAGCAAGGCTTCCTCTGGACGATTGCCTCCAACTATCTAACACCTTTACTTAGTCATACTGGCAGATGTTCCCTACCGAACACGAAAAATCAAGTTCCTAGAGCAACGGTGAATAGGGCTCGCTCCATCACGAGCACAGTTGCACTTGAATTGATAGATAAAATTAGAGCAGTGGCTAGTCCTAGTCTAGGTACTTCATCTTCCAATTGAGGAATCACCAGCTGTCGGACGTGTAGTAAACATGACTTGTAGTGTTTACCAGGGCCAACGAAAAGAATATTCTTTATTCAGTGACTATTCTTTTATAGCACCTAATTCGTTCTTTTTTTGTTGTATGCCTATCGTTTATATAAACTCACTTATCTTTGTATTTAAATAGTCACCAGAAAAAGAAAGTAATTGTCAGAATACATCTCACTCAACTGATCAACCGGTCAATGCTCAAAATGAGGAATGTGATGCAAATCTGTGCTCGCCTTCCGATTTTGTTAATGGTAAGATTTTTCTAGCCTTTCGGTACTCTTGTTTGAATCAATGCAACAAGAAAATTAAAGCCATAAAGAAAATAACCGCATTTTTAAAAATCAATAGACGAGACTGTGAAGCAGTTACATCGATTGACATGTGTTACACATGCATGACTAGCCATCGCCTACCTCGACGGGCAGTGTTAGGTGACATAGGATCAGATAGGAAAAGAGCTGGCCAGTGGTGGTCAAAACAAAACGTAGCCTCATCAGTTAGTGAAATACATAACAGTTAATTTAAGCCACCCAGCCACGTAGGAAGGTGTAGACTGACTGCCTGGTTGAGGTCATCGGGATGGTAAAAAAGTAATGGCGGTGGCTGGAGACAACTGGTGATGATATGGTTGGCTCAAAGTGATCGTTCTCGGTGCAGTTGCATCCACTCCTTGTGACTTATAATATCCAATAAAACTATATTGTTCTTCCATATTACTACTCCTCTTTTTGCCTCATATCTCTGTTTTGAATCTCTTTTTACTCTCTTGTTGTGTTTGCTACATGAAAGTAATTTGGCAACTGGAACTGCTGCTGCACATCATTGCAAAGTTCTACGTTGAAACTGGTCAGTCAGTCAGTCAGCATTTCATTTCATTGTTCTTTGCTCTGCAAAGTGATATATATATATATATATATATATATATATATTTGTCATACAATATAGTGATTCAATATAAGCATAAACATTTCTGCCTTTAAATCTGCCTAACTCAATATCAACATTGTATATTTGTGTATATTATTTACAAGAATTCAAACACTACAACCTATTCTCGTTTCTAAGGAGCGATAATTTCTTGTTTACTAAGAATTACTTTGTATTCCACGTAGATTTATTTATTATCATTGTTTCCTTTAGTTCCTAGAGGAAAATAGAGCTTCAGCCGCACGTCTCCATTGCGTTCGTTTCTCTGCCAACGTTTTCATCTGGGTCCACGCCCGCCCACATGCTTTCATTTCCTCTTCACATCACCTCTTCCATGTCACCCTCACACTGACGACCAGCTCGCTGCTTCTCTCCTATTCGGGTTCCACTCGAGGGCCTGTCTTGTGATTTCACTTGATGGTTTCCTCAGAGTATAGCCAATCCACCTCCATTTCTTCCTGCTTATATGTTGCACAATCAGTTCCTGATTGGTTCACTCCCAGAGATCCCTGTGCTGATCTTTTCTGGCCGGCCATCTGATCTTCAGTATTGAGCTAAGACAGCTGTTGATAAAGGCCTGTAGTTTGTTTGAGGTGCTCTCCATGACGCGCCAAGTCTCTAATCCATAAAGTAGCACTGACTCAACATTGGAGTTGAAGATCCTTATCTTATTTTTTATGCTGAGTACTGTTGATCTCCACATAGACTTGATAGTAATGAAAGCTTTCCTTGCTTCCCCGATCCTCACTTTGATATCCTCATCAGTTCCGTCCGCATGTAGTTGAAACGATGCTTCCCAGGTAGGTAGCGGAGGTTGCTTCTTTCCGATTTCTCCCATTTATGCTGATTGTTGTCTGTCATTGCTGTTGCTGTTGGCGGGCATGAATCTTCATCATCACATCTGTTCTTTTTCCCTATGTTCACCTGAAGTCCTATCTTCTCTGGATGCTTCTTCTGTCAGCTTGTTGCTTTTCACTCGCATATCTTCCAGTTTGTGAGGGATCAGAGATATATCATCATCGACGTCCAGATCCTCCAAGTATTTTTGTATGGGCCCATTTTCTGCCTGTCTCCTCGTTGCCCGCTGTGTGTCTGTCATTATCTAGTCTACCGCAATCAGGAAAATCATTGAAGATAGTAATAAGCAGCCAGCTTGTCTTACTCCCTTCTTCACTTCGAAGGATTCTGTGAGTTACCAATTGTGAACTACCTGGCATGCAGCATTGTCGTACAACTGTTGGATGAGATGTATAATTATTGGTGGCACCCCGTAGTAGCTAAGTAGTTTCCAGGTCACCTCTTTATCCACACTGTCTGCTGAAGGCCTTTTCAAAGTTGATTAAGTTTGGGTAGACGTAGGGAGCTGACTGCCATTCCAAGCTTTTTTCAATGCTGATCCGTACTGCTGCGATTTGATCGATGCATGACGAGTTTCTCGTGAACCCAGCCTGTTCCGTGGGGCGAAGTTTTTCATCCAGGGCGGCGTGTTTGATTCTCTTTACGAAGATTTGCAAGTTTTTTAATACATCAAATCAGTTATGTGAGAGGAGTAAAACAATATTTATTACTGACGTCACATGAAAATATATTAATCTTATATTTTTTTAACGAGTGGATAACGGATTGATATCAGTTAGAAAAGCATTGAAAACCAGGGAGTACTGGACAGATGTTTCACCCAGTTTGGGAATCATCGGCAGTACTCACCCACTGCCAGGGTTCGAAACCAGGACCTTCCGGTTGCAAGGCAAACTAGCTCGTACACCATTCAGCCACGCATTGGGACCCAATTCAATAGCTCATGAATTCTAACTTCTACCAGTTCGTGATTTAGCGCGACCCCAACCAATGTCATCGATGGTGAGAAGTTATGACCAGTGAGGTCCATCCAGTTGTGAGGTGTGAGGATGGATGTCCCACCGACGACATTGGTTGGTGCTATTCGCGTTAAATCACGAATTGGTAGAAGTTAGAATTCATGAGCCATTGAATTGGGTCCCAATGCGTGGCTGAATGGTGTACGAGCTAGTTTGCCTTGCAACCGGAAGGTCCTGGTTTCGAACCCTGGCAGTGGGTGAGTACTGCCGATGATTCCCAAATTGGGGTGAAACACCTGTCCAGTACTCCCTGGTTTTCAATGCTTCTCTAACTGATATCACTCCGCGATCAACTCGTAAGAAAACAAAACTAATCCTTACAAACCAATTATAGAAGATTAATCTTATATTTGTGTATTTCAGGTAAGAAAGTTTTGGTAATGCTTTCTTTTATGTTGTTTTAGAGTTCATTCGTTACTTCACTGGATCAGATATTATTTCTTCCAAGTCATCTTCACATTCCTCCTCGTCCTCCTCCTTCTCCGCTGACCAACAATTGTCATCATCTTCTACTACTATGTCAATCATAGACTGGTATCCTTCTCATGGACCTGGTGCCTCTCCACTTCCTTCTGCTTTCCATTTTCCTGTCAAACAAAACCAAATAAATTCAACAGTGTCACAGGTGGTTGTATTTGATACTATACATCGCTGTACTAGTCAGCTGGATTCAACCATACTAGACAATAATCATCAACATCAAGATGTCAAGAAAAAATCCTTTTGTCGTTTCGAATCCCAACAAGCAACTAAATTATCATGGGCTAAACTAAAGAGCACAGTTCCTTTAATTTATCAATTAGTTGATCGAATGCATTTTTCTCAATCAGAATATGAAGATTTATTAAAGTCTGTGAGTACTTCTTTTTGTTGTTGTTGTTGTTTTCTGAGCTAATCCTTTAGAAAGTAGCCGATGTTCTTCTGACTGTTGACTGCAACAAACTTTTATGTCACTATACTTTCATTGGACACACTAGTCAGTTACTAGTACGATGTGTGCGTGTGCGTTTAGTCCTTTGTTTAGTGCAGATTGAATTCTATCAGTCACAGAAAGCCTTGCTCGACCTAGGTTTCATGCTAGTTGGCACTCACCAGTCAGTCAAACAGAGAGGCCTGGAACCACATCTAAGGAACAAATCATGCCCCTCCTTTTGAGATTCGAACCCGCGCATCACCATTCAGGGATTATTGTAGTGCGTCAGAGACGTTATTACCACTGAGGAGCTATTTGGGCTGGCTCACGACTGACCTTCTTTAAGATTGACTGTATTGGACACTTTGGTTGGACACTAACTGGTAACTAGTGTGATGTGTCTAGCTAGTCCTTTGTTTGGTGCCCGAATAATTCAGTGGTGGTAACGTTTGTGACTCACTGCAGTACTCACTGGGTGGTGATGCGGGTTCGAATCCCAGAGGGGTCCTGAGTTCTTGCCTAGATTGGGTTCCAGATACACGCCCTGCTGACTGATTGGCTAGGCAAGGCTTTCTTCCTATGGCCTATCGCCTCCAAGTATCTAACATCAACAATGTACATATCACAATATGTGTGTTTTTTTTGTTGGTCACCTTATCTATCTGGGGTTTTGATTTGTTTATTACAGGCAAACAGCTTAAATCCTAATTCCGGTGTTGATATACAGTCTCACTATCGAGATGTTGCTTGCAAATGGATTCGTTTATCTCCAACACGTTGGTCCTCATGGACTGAAGGATGGAATAAAAAACAAAATCTTACTATTGCTGGACTTTTCTCTTTCTACGGAAAATGGGTTGTTTCCAATTTGGATCATGGTAAGTATATTGTTTGTTTTGTTTTTTCTTAAAAAGAATCTTCTCATGTCTCATCAAGGTTGTTCTGCACTGCAAGACAAAAGTTATCTTTATAAAGAATTCAGATTTCCCCGCCCCCCCCCCCCTATAGTTTATACTGTCTTTGGCTTAGTAGACGTGATATCTGACTGGCTGTCGACCATAGGGCGTGTGTACTGTTGGGCAGTTCGCTCTCTCCTCTTTTATGGCTGGTTGGCTGAGTGAGACATGGTCATTAGAAGTGGAGGAAATGAAAAGCCCTGCTGTCTAGCTGTCTTTGATCATAGATGGTGTCTGCGTCCCAACTCTCGTGTTTTTAGATGGTGGTATAATAAGGTGAGCAATATTGAGGTTAGGCGTCGATTGAGTGCTGTGTAAGGAGAATGGAAATTCAATCGATGGGGCTGTGAAACAGTTACATCGATTGAGAGAGATGGTTAGGACAAGTGTTGCGCATGCATGAGTAGCTATCGCCTTCCCCGACCGACATGGGCAATGCTAGTCACTGACTGACATAGGATGGATGAGGTTGGAAAAGAGTTAACCAGTGGTGGTGGTCGAACCCAAACACGACTTCTTCATCAGTCAATGCAATCAACGACAGTTAGTTTAAGCTGACCAGCCAGCCAGTCACATAGGAAGGTGTAGACTTCTTTACTGACTGCCTGGTTGGTGTCCTCGGATGGTTGTGGGAACCAATAAAGGCTCTATGTTTGTTTCTTTTTTTAAAGGTTTTCTCATGCTTTTTCATCATTATCCCATGTAAAGGTGATCTGCAATTCAAGACAAAAATCTTCTTTATAAAAAATGCTAATTTCCCCACTTCCCTCACTGTTAACCGTATTGTTACATTTGAGACCAGTAAAACTATTGAATCCCCAATGTATGACACCATTCCATATGTTAGTTTGTTTATTAGATATCACACACACACACACGGTCAGTGAAACATTAGTGTTATTGATTACTGGATGACGATGCCTTTCGAACACAATTTATTTATTTATTGTTTATAATCATTTCATCAATTATAGTCACACATGACTTCAAAACTTGAGTTTATAGTTTTCTTTGTTCTCTCATATTTGTCGTCGTAGGCGTGGTAGTAGAACTTTCCAGGTGTCTACGTGGACAGGTGTTAAATCCTTCGTATTACACGTGTTGTCTCTCTGTTGATTCGATAAACAAAGCTTCCGTTTTCAACCTTTCCCTCCACCCGCCCTATCAGATTAGGTTTTTAAACTGTCATCTTATCCCCCCCATCATCCTACATTGTACGGTTGTGTGTAACTGCATATACAGTGAGGTGTATGGCTGAACTACTCTTCAGATTTCCTATCTTTTTCGGGTCAACTAATCAAGATTTCGCTAGGTTTTTGTGACCCTCTTCTACTACTTTGACCTGACAATCATTCCAGTAGGGTATTAGATTAACTAAATTGTCTTTTTTTAATGGGCTCCATTGGCGGGATCCTTTAACTGGAAAAGTCTGTTTGTAATTCTGTGTGTGGGTGGTTTGAGTGCCAGTCACCCTTATTCCTGCCTGCATTGTTAAGAATTCTCCGACGTCAGGTGGTTTCTAAGGTTCCTTCTTTGTATGGAAGTACCACTGATGGCGGCTTAAATTCTGTATTGTTGGTGTTGTCATTTTTCTGTGCACGCTCGACATGCGTGTTGTCATTAATATTATCACTGTCACTACCATTATTATTAATTTTATTTTTACATTTCCCCCTAAATACCTCCTGATTAATTTATCGGGTTAATTAATAATTAAGTTTCAAAGCTTCTCTTATATGCCTCAATTCCTGTCTTAGATTTTCTTTCGCCCTACTTGGTTTTTGTGGCCTATTGTCACTTAAACATTTCACCATTCCCATTTTTACTGACATAGATATGATGGAATGATTGGAAATTCAGATATCGGTTTGAATGTGTGAGAGTTTCCTGTCAACACTAGTGTGTTTAACTTCCCATCTTCTTTCCTTCCAGTATCCAATACCCAATATCGTTTTTACGAGCTAGTATAAACCAATTTGATTTCTTTGTGCTCGCCTCTGGATTGTGAGGTATAGGTTACTGATCTTCAGTAAACTTCTGCGTAGCTCGTCCCGCCACTCGACTGTCGTGGCTTTGGTTGACTGCCAAAGGAGTAGTGCTGGGATTAATTATATGTGGTTTGTAGTATGAGGTGTGTTAAGACTGTTGCTACTGTGAATGGAGTTGATCCTTTCACCAGTTAGTCCTCCGGTATCGTCGTCAAAAGAAAAGAGATAATAATAATAATAATAGATATAATTAGTAAAGTTATTCATACTAACAGACAGAAAAAGAAATAAAGAAAACGTAACAGCAGACAGCTGATTAAATTTGAAGTCGATATATTTATATATATATATCAGTAATAATGATAATAAGCGTAGTTAAAGTTGCCAGGAGAGTAAGACGGGAGAGAATGTGAAGAAGTAAAACAATAAGTCGTCTACCCGTTAATAGAGCATGAGATTTTAAGGGAAAGGCCGTTTGGACGCAGTCATTGTGTCGCTGCATGACTGTCCAGCCTTCGTTTGAAGCTGTCCACGGACGATGCCACATCTCCATCTGCAGGTAAGGACTCTAGGGACGACAAACCTGCAGTGAAAAGAAATGGGAGCGCACCTGGGTCCCTGCCCTATGATGAGGGGTTTCCACGAGGAAGCCTGTACCTACTCAATGGTAGAACACCTTTGTTTGAGTGATTCTGGTCATTCGTTACCTTTTAGACAGTAATCAAATTGCCCCTAAGTCGACGGTAGCTAAGTGTGAATAGGCCTAATTTCTTCAGCCTTTCATCATATGGTTTATTTCGGAGACCAACCACTGTTTTTGTTGTTCGTCTTTGGACTCTTTCCAAGAGGTTGGCATCTCTTCTAAGCAGTGGGGGTGCAATAATATTATGCGCTTCAAGGTATGGTCTGGGATTTCTTCCATTGTGAATATTTGATCGTTTCATACAACCGGTGTTGTTTGTTGTCGGTTTTGGTTAAGTATTTTCATCACACCTCTGTCTTTTCTAGATTCTCTTGATGACCTGTGTTGTCTGCCTCTCCTACCAAGTTTTTGATTTTGGTTTTTAAGTCTGTAAGTTTGTAAGAGACATCACCCGTGGTGTGCTCCACTCTGTAGTAGTGAAGTAAGCACTTAATGGGTTACTTCGTGGTTAACGCTATCTACTATGGCGTTTCTGAAGTCGATGAAAGTGAGGAGAAAAAAAAAAGAAAATTGACTATCATTCTGGACTCTATTCGGTCAGTGTTGATGTGCAGTAATGCAATGTGGTGTAGTGTTTGATCTAAATTTGTTTTTTCCTGTATCTCAGATAAAGTCTTGCATTCAAGATATCATTTAGTCTTCTACCGCAACGTTTAACCAGGACGATCAAGAAAACTTTCTACTCTGCACGTCTGTGTCTATCCTCCAGTAGCCGTCCAATGTTCACCCAGCAACGCAGAAATGTCTTGCCTAACCTTTACTCTTCTTCACGCACATACCATTTCAACTATTCGTGTGATTCAAGTTATATAGGGCGCACTATCAAGCAGATTCGTCTACGGGTTTGAGAACACTACCAGCTTGGTTCAGCAGGGGGAAAATTAAGTGCATAAGAAGCTCGATTCTGTCACACTTGGTCGATACTGGACATCGCATCGATGTCAACACAGCTTTCAGGGTTATATACCGAATTCCGAAGTCGTTATAACGTACGGTTCGCTTACGTCTCATACACATAGCTGAAGCTGTTGCTATAAAATCGACTAAACCGGAACTTCGTATACAAAAAGAACACATCCAGACGCTGTTCCTACCGTGGCCAAACTTGGATTGATGATTCTTCTCACCAAGAGTACTTTTTCCCCTTAACCCTCTCGGTTTTTTTCCTTTGCTTATTATTGTTATTGTTGTTCGGCATAATTTATGCCCTTCATGCAAACATTTTCTCAGTGCTATGGAATTTTCCATTTATACTATCCGGACTTATAATTAGTGATATTATCTCTTTTCTCAATATATCGCTCCACCTGTTTCATTTCGCACATTGATTATTTCATTATGAACCTCTCATTGCAGTTTTACTGTCTCCTGTTTAATACACACTACTTTGTACTAGCCACTCATCTGACTTGTCAATTTTTCTACCCCACACTCTACAAATGTTTATTATGACTAATCACCACTATTGTCTCCCATTTTACAATATTTTGTGATCGATTTCAGCCCTAGAAACCGAGAAAACGAAGTTATACGGGGTACCTTCTCACGACATTCATCATCGTCATGATCATCAGCAAGACGACAGAGACACCAAATGTTAGGAGAAAACCTGCTTAGAAGAATACTGTGAAAACTCTATGTAAGCGAATTTGTTAGAAAGTCTAATATAAATGCCCCAATGGAAAGAATATAAGCCTAGACAGAAATTGGTGCTGTTTACGACCACATGTAGGAACGACTAATAGAGACGTTAGGAGTTAGTGTGTGGAGGGGAATCTTTTAAAGGGATGTGTTTAATTTGCAATGCATTTGAAACGGTAGAAGACGTAAGACTTAGTATAGGAATATTTATTTGGAAATTGGTATTTCTATATGTAGCCAAATTATGTATATTCCTTATCTTCAACACACCATTTGCACATATCTCCGTGTTGTTGCTCTTCTGGACTTCATATTGTGTTTCTGTGTGTTCCTTTCACGTCTCCCGTGTATCTCTCCACAATTCTGTGTCGTTTCCCTTCTCTGATATCAAATGTATCTCCTTCATATTTGATGTTTCATGCCGATAAAGATCTGTTTACATACTACCGATAAATCAGTAGCACTCGCCACACATTGAACAGAGACGGTTCACAAAGACCTCTAAGAAGAAAGTAAGAACAGATTGATTAGAGTGTAGCCTGATATCATTTCGATTATTCTGTTGATTGGTTCTTCTGAACTTCATACAA